CTTTCAACTCAAAACACAGATGAAGACTACTTTGTAATTTAGCAGCAATAGCTGGGGGAGTGCTGGGGCACCCCCTGCCTGAAATATTGGGTTGTGTCTGACAACTATGATCAGGATAGAGTTACCACAAGTAACAGATTTGGGGGTCTTCAATGGGAAGAGAAACATTTGTTACACTAACTTAAATTTATAAAGTTTTACTTCTACCACCTACAATGCCTTAGTTCAGCCAAAGATAAAAGATGTAAAATTAACTTTGACTATCATTCATTTTATTATGTTACAGTATAGATGTGATATATATAGATATATATCTACACACCTTCCATGTCTTCATGTTTTTGACCCTCAACATCTGGAACATATTGCTTTTTGTTCTTCATCTCTATTTGAGAAATACAATCTGTAAAACATTAAAGCAATAATTCAGTTTTTCTTACTATGTCTATATTCCAATTTTAAACATTAAACCACTACCAACTTCATGAAGATACAGATTTCCCCTGATTTATGCGGGTTCTTTATATGTCAATTCGCTCTCATGCGATGAGCATATTTAGACACAACTTGTTATATGCGAGGTAAATCGCTTTTATGCAAATCAGCATAGACGACACCCCCCCCCACGCCTAAACAGGTAAGTCTGTGGGGGGAGGGAAAAGGGCCAACACCACCTGCCTGCAGCTACTGGGCTGCACCATGCTCTACCTGTCCCCCCGCACCTGGGCTCCGCTTGTCCCCACTCACCTCTGCTCCTGGGCTGTGCAGTGCCCTGGTGCAGGCAGCTGACTGGCCTCTCCCAGGGCTGCTGCAGCAGGAGCTGGGGTGCATGGGGACAGGCAGAGCCCTGGGGGGTGTGGGGCACAGTGCAGCCCAGCGGCTACAGGCAGCTAGTGTTCGCTGCTCCTACAGCTGCTGCAGCAGGGACTGGGGTGAGTGCCACTCTATTCCCTCCGCTTTGCTGCCTTGTGCAACCCTGGGAGCTGCACCCCTCTGCCTGCCCCTTCCCTAGTCCCAACTTCACTCCTTCCCTCCCCACCATGGGAACCGATCCCTATTTGTTACACTGTAAAGTGGGTTCGCTTTATGAGAATTTGATTTATGCACCATTCTCCGGGAACGCATGTACCGCATAAATCGAGGGAAACCTGTATTCCCAATGCTTTACACTAGTTCATTAGATAATTGCAGAGCAGAGGTGTCTGGCAGGAGGAGTAGTAGAAGGCAGCTATGAACCATTTAATATGAACACTTCGTAGCCATTTTTATTTTCAGTGTCTCACTGGACCAGTTCAAATAAAGTGGATGGCTAATCTAAAAAAAAGACAAAAAACGAAAAACCCTGTAAAATTGAGACGTACCTATTTAAATATCAAAACTGTATGAATACAAGTGCTGCAACTGACATATAATTATATAGGTAAACTATACAAATATTCTTCTCAAACTCTAATATTGTAAAATAGTCATATTGTAAAGGAAAAGCATTCATTATTATTAAAATAACATTTGCTACTCTTAAGTTTTCTTGGTAAGTCGATCCCATTAGTCTTCCTACCAAGCCACCCCTTCTCTACCACTACCAAAGCAACTGGATTCTGCCATTTGCCTCCCTACCAGTTATGGAAAAAGAACCAGCAGGTTTTAGATGTGTGTGGAGGAATAGGAAAACTGACTGATCCTGCAAACCTAAACAGAAAGTACTGTGGTAGAGACAACGGAGGGGGGTGGGGCAGGAATATTTTAATCATGAGGAAGGTAAACTCCTGTTCTAGTTTCCAAAAGGATCACAAGATGGAATAAAATATAGGTCTAGTAATAGGTCAAAAGTATAGGTACAAATTTAAGAGAGTCATGGGCACAGCATACACAGATAAAATGGTCAATAGGTACTGTCATCTGTTGAAGAGTGACACATGAGAAGAGGAAGGACAAAAGAAGTCTCTGGTTCCTCCATCCCACATGACTCATAGACTGCAAAGTAATAAACCAGAAATACAGGTTTGAAGGCTAGCCTGTTTACTGCACCAGGAGCTAGAATATTCTCTCCTTAGCTTAGTTTAGGGAATGGAAAATAAAAGGGAGTCCTTCCTCTTTCTGCTTTTACTATAATGGATCTCTCTCCTCTTTTCACCATAAAGTAATACCTTGACAAAGTAAAACCTGCTGTCACTAAGCCATATGTATTTAAATCTCCCCTTCTTTTTGAAGTTTAGACTCCTGTGGCCAAATTACAATCATACCTATATCTATCTCACCTAAATTTGGCCTTACTTGCACTTTAAACACCTGAGTCCAAATGAGCACTTCATAAAAACCTGCCTAAATAGCGAGGCACCTATATTTTTGTCAGGAAAACTACTGAAACTGGCAATGCACATGCCTGGAGGTATTGACATCTTGAGCGAGATGAGCATCTCAGGGTCTCTCTCATGCCTAAGCCTACTTGGGGATTCAGTGCAAGCTTTCCTATTCCTAAATCCATGAAGTACCTGGGTATACTCAGATCATTCCCTACATATACAAAGACAGCAGGGAGTTAAAACACTGCTTTCAAAAAAGGTGGTGATGGTAGTCACCTTTTACGTAACAGCTTAATGGTTAAAGCATTTGCCAGGGAATTAGACCAAAGCTCTGTGCCCTCAGCAGAGTCTACACCAGAAAAAACCCTGTCACCAGAAGTCATTCTGTTGGCAAAACTTTGCAAGTTGTCTTTTTTCCCCTATGTCTAGAGCCCCTCATGAAAAATTGTTATTGCATGTAACAGTGCAACAGCTGCCACACACTTGGTTATGTTGACTAGATATGCTGATTTAAGTTTGCAGGAATAGATAAATACTCATTTACAGATCTATCTACATCCTAAATTTGGCATTTTGGACAGGCACATTTTTTAGGAAAGCAAACAGTGGGAGAAAGAGTCAGGAACCAGTAAGTTTGGACCTTCTAGGACAGAGTTTAAGTAACTCCTTGAATGTTTAAAAGAGGTAGAAAATTGCTAAGGCAATGGCACAGTTTCCCCACTATTAAGCAATAAGGGAATGGGTCTTTTCTTCAGTCCTCAACCAGAGAGTGGAGAGAGATACAAAAAACATTTTAGAAAATTAAAGCAAGTGAGAACATAAGTAGGAATTAAACCAACTCCCTACCACTATGCATCTGCTCTTACAAAGACTCAAAAGATACATGCACACAAAACAACTAACCTAAGGTAAGCTACAATACAAACTTGCAGTGAATCAGTTATCCCTTGATAACCACCTGTTTTCACTCAAACTCTGGTAAATCAATGAAAAATAAGTTAAACTACATGTAAGTTGGACAGCCCTGCTCACTTTCATTGAGGGAAAGTTAACTTTGCTTATGAGAAGGGATCCAGGTTTTCCATTAGCTGCGGAAAAACGTGGATTTTCTCCTTTAACAGAGAAAAAAAGTGGGAAACCATGGGTTTTTCCTTGTAGGCTGGTAGTGTTCCAGCCTGCGAGGGGCTGCTAGAGGCTGGGGGAGGGGGACATAGGGGTGCCATGTGCAAGGGTGCATGCACTCTTGCACACAGCAGCCAGGCAAAGCAGTGGAGCAGCTCCCACAGCTGCTTCCAGGTAAGTCTATGGTGGGGGCAGGGGGAGAAGGCCACAAGCAACACAGGGGTGCACAGGCAACGTGGTGGACGGGGCACATGGCCCCCTCAAGACTTCTGCACTCACAGCAGGTTGTGGAGCACAGGGCTGCAGTGGGGTCAGACCAGCTGTGGGAAGCAGCTGCCTCTGTGGCCCAGTGGGCAAGACCTGGCACAGGAGAGAGCACCATGCTGCCATGGCCAAGGTGAGGCACTCCCCGCCTGCCCAGCAGCAGTGGGGGCGCAACTCTGCACCACTGTCATTCCTCACCTTGGCAGCCATGGTGGTGCAATACTCCTCCTGCACTGGGTCATGGAGGCAGCTCCTGCCCGGAGCCAATCCAACCGTGCTGCCGTCCTGTATTCTGCTCTGCAGAAATCTCAGGGGCCATGTGTCTGACCCTGCCCACTGTGTCACCTGTGCCCCTCGCCACCCCATGCTGCCTGTGCACACATACATCTACTCCCTCTCACACACTGGAGGGAATTGAGCTCGGAGTGAGGGGCACCAGCAGGGCTGGGGGAGCTGAGGCTTGGAAGTGAGGGGCAACGGCATGGGCACCAGCATATCAGAGCTGCTCAGCACCACAAAGCGGTGGTGGGGGCAGCCGCAGCTGGACACATGTCCTGGTGAGTGAAAGGGGTAGGGGAGAGCTGATTTTCTACAATAAAACACACAAAAATCAAAACAGCAAATATTTAGATTTATATTTTTTTTTTTTATAATGACTGAGGCACTGGTAGGCTTACAAAATGCTTTAAAATTTGAAATATATAAATAAAGCAACACATTCAACTGATACATACATATATACAGGTGTCACTTTTAAAAAAAAAAAAAAAATCACAGAAAAATGCAGATTTTGGGTTAGTTTTTCTTTTTAAAATCAGAGCATCTCGGATTTTTAAGAAGAGAAAACCAAGCTCCTCCACTTATGAGATAAAAATAAGTATATAAGGAGTCACCATGGAACAGCTGACAAATTAAGTTCATGCTTTAGGTCAAGGCTGTCCAAGTAACAGCCAACAGGCCACATGTGGCCAGGGAGAGGTTCATTTTCTGCTGTTTCCCTCAGCACTTCAGCTGCAAGCAGCTGGGGTTTCTGGGCTCTTCTTTCCTCCTCTGGCTTCTGGTACCTGTCCCTAGGAATAGGACAGGGCTGAGCAACCCATGGTACTGGAGGAGCCCAGGGCCAGGGAGCTGAGGATAGGACCTGGGTTGCCCACATGCACAATGCAGCAAGGGGGCACCTGCAACCCAAGGTATCTGTGACTTCTGCTGGTGCAGCTAGTAGCATGTGCAGCTCCTTCCTGGCCACTTCAAGGTTGGACAGCCCTGCTCTAAGCTGTGGCAATACCTTATGGAGTCCATACTTTAACATGCAGTCACAGAGATGCATCTGGTACTTACTAATCCCTATTCATTAAATATTTAAACAGGACATGGAATAAACACATTTTTACATTTAACTTCCCCATAAACATGGAAGCATACAAATGCCTAAATCAGTCTCTTTCAAAGCACAATATTCCAAGTAATTACAGGTATAAAAACAATAATTTACACTATAGCAAACAAACATATGAAAATTTAAACAAATGAACTAAATTGATATGAGCTGTCTAAAGTATGTCTACAGAGAGGCTTGCTTGAATTTAGAAACATTTCACTTTAACGCAAGCTGTACATTTAGACAAGATCTTGCTTTTAAAGTTTGCAATTAAGGATGTGCATTAATTAAGGATAATTTACTATCCCCAACCTTATTTTAGGCACTTCCTCACAC